ATGGTGATATAGAAATTAGCATATGAATAAAATGAACAAATTAGAAGTGTCAGTTTGGCACGGGAAAATTACCTTCAATACGGAGTATGATCCTCCCTAGAAGCAATACAATACATACAGTGATGTGTGATGCTGTAGGAAGTGAGAGCCACTGATATTGAAAAGCAATTGCAAACGTGGCAATGATCTGAAGAGGAGGACTAACAGCAGCTGCACGTCTTCCTTAAGCATCCCAAGCATGCTTGATAGGATTCAGGTCCAGTGATCGAGCTGACAAATTTATGCACTAAATTATTTGCTGCTCAAGATAATAATCCATGGTGTGAACCCTGTGATGTCTAGTGTTGTTGTCCTGCAGCAGGAAATTATCACCTACTGCCGCATAAAGGTGGACATAAGCATCAAAGATGTCATCTCTATAGGACTGAGTATTCACGTTTCCACATGGAAACAGAGAGGGTGTCTGTATGTCCACCCAAAGAGATAGCACCCGAAACACAGATACCGCCTCCTATGTATGCACATCTTTCACGGATGCTTGATGGATGTTAATAGATTTCAGGTTCTTTCCAAATTAAATAACACCTACTATCACTTTGAAGGCTAAATCTGTACTCATTCATAACAAATACAGCCCTCTATTGCTCAGCTGTCCAGTGAACATGTTGATGTGCCAGCCTCAAACATTCCCTTCTATGATGGGCAGCATGCAGAACCTCCTTCGTGAAGGCTTGTATGCACAGTTAACGTTGATGCCAACCTTCCAGCGGCTGCAAAAAGGGAGGATCTGAGTCGAGTTGGAGTTGAGGTACTATTCTTCCAGGCGCTTAACAACAAATATTGGTCATTATCACGTCCTTGTGGTTGACTGTCCCTGGCAGAACCTCCTGGTTGTCTAATCTATGGTTGGAAATTGCTGAGAAAGTCTATGAAGTACAGAAGGACTCATATTTAGCCATCTCGCCACTCTTGTCTGACTTTGTCCTGCCTCTAATCTCCCAACAGCTCTCCATTGCAGTTCTTTGGGCAAATGATGCCTGGAGGTCATTGTTACAAGTTGGCCATCCCAGATTTCTTCTCTCAGTATCACAGCAAAATTTTGCAGGCTTGCTCTGAAAGATGCAATTTTATGCTCCTTGCAGGTGATGTATTTCAGTTGCAGTACCACTAATTTGCATACTGCAGTTAGTTTACTCAGCAATTCTTATTTAGTGACCTGCTGATTAGAACAGACCAGAACATCTGATATCGGCATGGTTGGTGTGCTGAAAGTTAGGTTATGCTCTATATGATGCTGTAAGTGCCGTACCTTCATGTAAAGTTTATGGAGTTGTATACCAGTTAGTATATCATAAAACTCCAATAACCTGCTAAAGCACCAAAGATGGTAAGTTTTTTGTAATATTTTAAGTCTCACCAGATGTAAGGAATAAAGTGTTACATTAACTTTTACCTTTTTGTGTTATAGCTTGTGATTAAAGTAATGATTAATGAAAACGAATAATTTGGTTTAACATACAGAAATAACTTTTAAGGGTGAGCAGTTAGTTACAATTAAATTAGGTAGTTAAGATACCCTTAGCCATTAGATTTACATGACCACTATTAAATTTTATTTATTTTCTGAAAATATTTGTAATAAAAGTACTATTAAAATCACTATTCAAGAACATTTCACAGTTTAAAACACATGTAATTTACAACATTGTTTCTTAAACCTATTAGGATGATTATACATTAAAAGCTAATGCCACACAACAAAATACTTGCATCTGTTTAATTTGAAAACTTCCCAGTCATTTCGGCTGATTTATATCAATTTCCTTTCCTTTAAGCAAATTTTTTTTAACAAAAAAAAAAAAAAAAAAAAAAAAAAAAAAAAAAAAAACAGTAAGTAAACCACTATTCTCATCACCTCACTTGTCAGTGTCTCAGCAATATATCTTTGAAGAATAATTTGCTTTCTCTTCATGTATTCAGTTCTTTCTCAATAAGTTTTCTCTTAATTTTAGAATTCTCGGATTTATTTAAAGATTTCTGTTATTCTAAAAACTTCATGTTTTTAAAATGCATGGAAGAAACTGCTAATTTCATTTCTTGACTAATATGAGGCCCACCAGTGTCCAAGCAGGAAAGTCATTGAACACTGGTAGTTTGGTACGAGGTTCAAATCCCGCAAATGGGCTGGTTACACGGACATTTTCATGGTTTTCCCCATGTGTAACATGTATACAATGTTAACCCCTTCGCGCCGACTGTCACATCTACGTGCCAACAACGAACACACTAACTTCCCTGCCGACATGCAGGCGTGCCAGAGCATTTTCCCGTTCAGCCCCGACTGTCACGTAATTGTGCCAGCGTCCTGGAAAGTTTTAAAAACTATCATTTCTGCCACAAGATGGCACTGTATGTCCATATGGTTTCAGATACATGTACATTAGACCTTCTACTCGAAATGAGAGAAGCATGACTCACATAGACGTGTTTTTGATTATATAAACAAAAGGGGAAATAAATCTTTCCGAATGGCATGATTTATGACGTCTCTTTAAATTCGCACGTAGTAGTTGTTTATTGTAAGTAGAGAAGTTTTATTTTCGCTAAAGCGTTGGGTATTTCGGTTTGCAGTTCAGTTTTTAGAAAATAATTAGATCTTGTTAGACGAGAATTCTTTCTGTTTTTAGCGTTGCAATGTCGAAGCGTCGAAAATGTTTAACAGAGCATGAAATAGCAGAAATGATGCAAAATATTTCAGATATTGATTCTGAAACAGATTCTGATAGTAGTGATAGTGATACTATGATATATTCTGATCATAAAGAATCTGGCAAATCTAATGATGCCGAGTACGACGAAAGCAAGTACTTCTCCATGCAGTACTTCGATTCCCGGAAAAATCCTCCGAAACGGCAAATGAGTTATTACGAGTGCAGGGAATGTAACGTAGGACTGTGTGTAGATCCCTGTTTTGAAATTTTTCATATGAAAAGAGAATTTTAAGTAATATATTTAGTTTTCAGATCTATAATGTTAAAAGTCATAAAACGGTGAGTAATGAAAATAAAATGTGTAAAATATGCATTTAAACAAGAAATAAGGTAATTAAAGTATATATAAAAATATCTATAAAGAATAAGCCATTTAAATACTCTATAGAGCATTATTAAACAATGCGTTGATACTTCGGAAATTTCATGGATTTAGGCTTAATAGCAAAAAAGCCCCCGGCCCTGGACAGACGCTCGCATACGACACTGCCGGCCTCCGCGATAAACGCGCGTTTGCGCTACCCGGCGCGAAGGGGTTAAAAAGTCCTCCACCAAGGCATCCCTCCCCTTAGGCAGACAGTCTTCAAGGCTTTGCCATAATCACATAAACCAAACTTTAGTAATATAAACATTGATAAAAAATATGAAATAATATGCGATTAAGGCCATTAACAGAGATGGTCTACCAGAATTTTTAGAATTTAGTGAAGCACCAAGCAACAAAATCTAGGGATGAAAAATCCTTCAAAATTTACGACAGGCACTGGGGCAAGATAATTTAAAGGTGGCAGAAATTTTAGAATTTAGCGAGACACTAGGCAGCAGAATTTAGGATCCACAGTGATTGCATATCAGGTGGGAAAATGCCCAGCACCAGCTCTGTGTATGATGCATTGAGTCACATAATATTAATCTTTTAAATTGCCAGTTTCAATTTCTTCGTTAATAGAAAAATTCTTTTCTGTAAACACCTGTCCATGTGACATGATTAGAAGCATTTTTGATATTTTCCATGCTCGTGTCCAGTGAAAAGGAGAGAATATAAAGGGAAGGTAAACATGTTAAGAGATAGACTACTAGGATCAACATTAGAAAATTCAATTATATTTTCACTGTTCTTCCAAAAAGTAAGAAATTCATTAGGAACTTCCAGTAAAATATATCCATTAGATGTTAATTTCAAAAAGAGATTTTTCATTTTGTCACATTTTTCTGGAACCTTATGGAATCAAAGGTCTAGAAATTTTGACTTCAAATCCTTTTAAATCTCCCAAGCTGCAATGTCTAAAATTCAAAAGAAAAATTATCTCTGATAATTCTGAAACAGCAAAATGCCAGATGCTTTTTGAAAAACAAATTATGGGAAGAAAAGTATAAAATGAATTTTATAGAGAAAACTTCGGAAATAATTACATGGGGGGGGAAACTTACCATGAAAAAATATAAAAAAGACATTTTAAAATAATTGCAATAGCTATTTTACTTTTTCTAAGAAGTGTCACGGAAATTGTGCTTTACAGCATATTTTTTCAGAGTCAAAACATACTAAGAACAAGTCGCCAAAATAGAAAGTAATGTCACTTTAAAATACGGAAGGGAAAAATAAAAATGTTTTATTTTAATGTTTATTTCTTAACTACAATTTTAATATTATCATTATTTTAATCAAGTTCATCAATGTTATAATATTTTTTTTAAATCTTGAAAAAAATTCACAAATTAAAATTTTATATTCGGCAAAATTATAGTCATTTAACCAAAGAAGTCACATCCCTGAAAGGGAAAACTTCCTTATGACCTTTGCATTAGCAAAAAATTTTGAAATATATACTTATGCTCACTTCTTGCCCAGAAACTCGAATATCACGCTGCTTATATTAGTATGAGCCAATTCAAACAATAATCCAACAAATACATATTCGTCAGTGAATTGAAAAAATATATTCCTCCAAAATTCTAACTCAAAACGACAGTCATAAAAAAACAGACAGAAATTTCACTTGATTAAAATTGAGGACCTTCTGCTAATTTCAACTGAAATTAAGGACTTTTAGCACCAAAAATTGTTTTCGAAATATGTTACGCCTTCTAAGGAGTATTATTATGAATCCAGTCGTTATATGGTGCAGAAATCATAATAAACACAAAAAGATCATATTATTTTACTTTTGTTCCATATTCAAAAATAAAATCATTAATTTCATTGTACATAACAATAAAAAAGCTTACCTGCCATTTGTCCCAATCCAATATATAATTCCATTGTCATCAAAATCTTTTTGGTGAACAAAATTGATCCTTACATTTGGCTCTTTTAACCGCTTCACAAAAGCAAAAGTTGATCGATCATAATCATACCACTGTTTTGCAACCTTGCAAAATAAATACAGGTAGAAGATGACAAAACTACAAACTATATACAGGAAATCTATAACATTAGAATAATGCAAGTGTACTAATACACACTTTCCTAATAACACTCTCAAAACAAAATTCATAATATAAGGGCGAGTCAAATGAAAGTGAGCCAACCCCTCCTCAGCAAGAATGGTTCGGTCCATCATCTGCGGCGCATGCGCGTAGCACAGAGACAGCCTTCATTTACGAAAGTGGCGCGAAAGTGTGAGGTTAAAGTTCTTTAAGGCGCTCTTACACTGGGTTGAAGACGGTAGCGTGACATAATGGACTCTCCAAAAGAGGAACAGCGTGGTGTAGTCAGGTTTTTGACAGCTGAAGGTGTTTCCCAACATGAAATTAGTCGACGTATGACTGCTGTGTACGGTGAACATTGCATCGCATTGGTCACTGTGAAGCGTTGGAGCAAACGGTTCAGAGAAGGACGTGAAAGTTGCAAAGACGATCCAAGACCGGGCCAAAGCCACCTTGCAGTCACCCCCGACACAATTGCACAGGTTGATGAGCTGATGATTAGACAAGAACGGAGGATAAGCATCGATGAACTGGCAGAGCGTGTGAACATCAGTCACGGTTTGGTTCACACCATAATTCATGATCATCTCGGTTATTGGCTTTTGTGTGCTCAATGGATGCCCAAGATTTTGAACGACCGTCAGAAGACGGAGAGGTTCGGCGCTGCTTTGACTCATCTCATCCGGTATCACAATGAGGGTGACGACTTCTTGTCTGCAATTGTGACCGGAGACAAATCATGGTGCCACCACTACGAACCTGAAACACGCCGGCAAAGCTTACAGTGGAAACATTTGAATTCACCACCCCCGAAGAAAGCAAAGGCTGTCATTTCCTCGGGAAAGGTGCTATTGACTTTTCTTTTCGATCGTCAGGGGCCATTACTGATTGAATTTGCTAAACGTGGAGAGACTATCAATAGTTCACGGTATTGGATCGGCTGCTTGTCGCAATCAAGAACAAACGACCTGGAAGATTGACGAATGGTGTGATCTTGCTACACGACAATGCTCGTCCCCACGTCGCTGATGTGGTTAAGACACAACTGGCAAAGTTCAAGTGGGACACGCTGCAACATCCTCCATACAGCCCAGATTTGTAGCCATGCGACTTTCACATTTTCGGGAAACTGAAGAAACATCTGAAGGGTACCAGATTCGTGTCGGACGACGCCGTGACGGAGTCGGTTACAGACTTTTTGAATCGACAGCCCAAGGAGTTTTATGAGACGGGGATCACGCGGCTCATTTGTCAATGGGATAAATGTCTCAATGTTCATGGAGACTATCTTTAAATAAAGTACTCTGTTTGTCATATATTCGCATTGGCTCACTTTCATTTGACTCGCCCTTGTAAAAAATAAATCATGAAAAAGTCGAATCAGGGAATATTTCAGATGATTATACCTATTTAATGAGATGCTCTTACCTGAACCTGACTACTATATTAATTGACACAATTAGATTAACAACTAATCTGATGGAATTTTGAGTATAGTACAAAGTCCAAAATCTGGATGTCCATTATCTGAAATTATCTAAAATCTGGACCTCAAAACCACCGTTTTTCTCGTAGACTTTGCGCATGTGCATAATAAAACATCTGGAGAGTCCCGATTCTTAATTTCACTTCAATACTCAATAAAATAGCTTGTTATTGAAGGAAAAAAAAAAAATCGTTTTAGCACAAATTTGTACCATCAGTAATTTGGCTCCGTTGCTGCATATCTGCTTGGCACACATATCAAACTAAAACATTCCACATAGATACATCGTTGATCTGATGCCAATGTGGTGAATCATTATTTATTATACTTTCTTTTCATCCCCGCATGTTTATCAACATATGAAAACTTAAGTAATGACACATGTGGCGATGCCTAAACAATTTTCTTTATGTTAGTAATTGAATAATATAGTATGGTAACCTTTTATGTTGACATTATGCTTGGCAATGATTACAGATTTAAGTTAAATGTTCTAAAAAATGTTGATGAGGAAAAATTTAACAAAAATTTCTTTCTATATGCTAAAAATAGATTCTGTTGATGATACTCAGACTTAAAGATTACATTTAAGACTATGTGAATTAAGAATAACTGATTTTTTTCACATAAACCCAGAACCAGTGCTAGGACTTGTATGGCCACACTGGGTCAAGAATTTAGGACCCACAGAGACTACATCAGGCAGCCAGATATCTAGCATTGCCCTTCAATAAGGCTTGAGTATATGGTGGGAATTTATTTATTCAAAACTCTGATAATCCTTAAGCAAGTGCAAGAAATAGATATAAGTATAATAAATAAACTAATACAATTTGGGCTTAATTGTCTCAGTGCGCAATAGAAGCAAGATAAAATTCAACGGAACAACTTGTCATAAGTCGCCAAGCTCATGATGCATAGCCAAATATGTATAGTGAATGAGAGCTAAATTAGATGACGATAGCTGCAAATTTTAAAGGTTTTCGGATAAATAAAGGTGAAAATAAAGGTGAAATTTTCCAATTAACGGATATAGAAATGTGGAGAAGCAGTAATAAATGAAGTTAATATATGAGAAGTTTTTCATTGTGATGACAATGCTTCTCAATTATCAATCAATTAATGAATGGAAAAATCTGTAGTATGGGTTTTACATCAAGAAAATACCACTACTGATAGTGAAGAAAGTGACAGAGAAGTTACTGAAAATGAAAAAATTTTGAATGACAAGTTAGTTGGAATTCTCGACACGGCAGTAACAAGACTTCAACTATGTAACTGAACAAGAGATTGTCTGTCTACACAATTAAAGAAAAAGTATTAGCACGAAAAATGAAGCAACTTAAACCACTTACATTGAAAGAAATGTTTAAAATGATAAACAAATAAATATTATTCTTTTTTTGTAAATTTTGATACTCTTTAAATCACAAATACTTAATCATTTCATAAATCATGATTTCTTATTTTTAATTTTATAATTTCTAAATGCCATCTTACTAGATTTAAACTGTTGATCTAATATCCGAAAAAATCCCAAACCCGACGAGTCTGGATTTTGGACTTTGTACTGTATTACAAATATCCACACTCAAGAAGGTTTCTTAACCAAACATTTGCTAATGCTGTTATTGGAAAAATGTTTAAAGAATATATTTCAAAAGAATTTACAGGCTCATCCTTTTTAAAGCTTCAAAATAAATTTTAACACATGGATAAAAGTTTGATCATCTTCAACAGCTATCAAAAATGATTCAATGATCCTACAAAGTATACTACTTCATAAGCTTTATGCACTGTTTCAGTAAATTTAGGGACAACTGCAAGAGCTTTTGTGAAACTGAATTCAGAGTTTTTATATATCAAAAGTAATTGCCATTATGCAAAAGAGTTAACAAAGAAAAATGCATCCAAATTACTTTTGCAATAATATTATTTGTTAATTCATGTTAGAGATTTTAAAATAATATAATTTTGTAATACAAATTCAAAACACTATAACTGAATGAGCAATTGCATCAGAATTTGAAATCCTGAATGCACTAATAAACTAAAAGAGCAATCCCCAGCTGCCAATTTAAAATAAGAAATACTATCAGGTGCTCAAGCAAAATGTGGAAGTTTCCAAAAGTTTTCCATGCTGCATGATGACAAAAAAAGAACTCTACACTGACTTAAATTTGCTCTATAATGCATGATTTGGGTTAGTGGACTATTTATGTGATTTTGATCTAGAATATATCAGTATTTAATTAGATAGTCTAAATTTTAGATTAATTTCATTTTGTAAATTTCTTACATTTTTATACTAAAATTCATAAACGGGAAGGGAAGATTTATAAATCAAAGTACTTTTAAATATGCTGAAACCAAAATTAATAATTAATTTACATACTATTATGTGGATAAACCTATTAATGTTCCATTTACTGATGTAAACAAAGTTAAATATAAATATTAATTAATTAAACACTTGCTGAATTTTCATTATATATGTCTATAGGAAATTAAGATAATTCAGATCAAATAAAATTTCATAACAGAATTAAGCTGAAAACCACTAGGGTTGGGAAACACAATTTAAGTTTCATTCATTCATTCATTGTTATGAATTGCTGGGAAGCATTATCCTCAGTTAAAGTAAAAAACTTGAAGACTCAATAATCTGTTCGAGAAGTGGTGAGAAACAGAGGGTTCGCAGCCATGTTAATTCACTTGTCCAAAATTAGAAATCAGTCGTGACGCAAGCTTCAGCCACTCCCATAATTCAAAAACATAAGAATCAATTCCAAAGGACTTGAACATTTCATAGATAAAGTAAAGCTTGATAGAGGATTACAACAGCAATGTAAGTAGCAGTCTAATTACCTGCTGTAGCAATACAATCTGAAACATTATATTGCCTTAAAGATATTCTTCTCCATACAGATCTGATTTTATTAGATTGCACATGCTGCCTGCATATACCATCAGCGATTGAAAAATTACAAAGCACGAATAAACACAGCATGATTTTTCTGAAAATTTTCAAACAAGTTATCAATGGGAACCTTCACTATAACTCTGTATTTTTAAGAAACTCTTTGAAAGCAATATGGCAAGTATATTTATCCCACTACATTAAAATAAAAATATATATGTCTACATTTTCAACAAGAACATGCACTGAAGCTTGATCAACACACTATAACATGCACATGATGCCAGTACTATTTGAGTCTTATCAAATATGATGCCAGCACAACTGTTGAAAGTCAACATATATCAAGTGACACGAGCACCATCACAGGCTTTGTACTTACTAGCTTATTTGCATAGAGTAATTATGTGAATGAAACTTAACATTTTCTGTAACAATTTTTGCACATCCATAATTCTGCAACAGTAATAAATAGAGAAAATCCATAAGAGTTGGCATCTTTATATATATTACTTATTTTTTAAAATATTAAAGTTAAGTTTTACAGTATAATAATGGTCACAAATTCAAGAGATGCACGTAATTTTCTTTTGAATAATCTTTACAATTTCAGAATTTAAACGATTTAACCATGTATAAATCGATACAGAAAAGAAGGATCTGTTTTGTGCTGCCATCTGTTGGTTCTTTTGTGTATAAAAAACATATTAATACAGTAACACTACAAAAAAACTACTGCCCCACTGAGAAAAGTGGTTTCCATCTCTTTTCATATTCCACTTTTTTCGTTCTTCCTTTAACATTTTGAAATTTAGGTTCATTCCAAATAAAATTCAACCAATTTTATGATTTATTTTTTAAATTTGGATTTTTAAACAATTTTTATAAATTTTATGGAAAAAATTTTGAATTACAACCTGCAAAATTTTTACTACCTTTCTTAAAGTAAATAAATGTACTTCTAAGCATACCAGAAAAAAATTATAGCAGTTTATTCAAAATTTCCGAAGATACACATGAATTTACATATTGGCGCATTCTGAGATTTGGTATATTTGTTATAAGCGATAATAAAGCCAAATGTGGTTTTACGTACTTTGTTAAAGTTATTTAAAAGTAATGAACAAAGATTTTTTTCCTCTCATGTGCAATGAAATAAATGAAAGGAAAAAAGGTTGCTATAAATCAAGACGTTCGCCAAGTGAATTATTCTTGGCACAAACTGGAAAAAAGTTCGGTCAAGCTATATTTTTGAATTGCTCCGTAAATTTTGCACCAAATTTTATAAAATTTAATATCTAGGCATAATTTGAGACGTAGAATCAATATATTAAAAAAAAATTAGCATGTCATTTCAGGAAAAGTCTGATTTTGGGTCAAAATACCTATGTTAGAACAATGCTATATATAAATCTAATGTATATCCCAGTCACGCTTTAGAGACATGTAAAACGCAATTTGAATTTCGCCAACTGGCCCAGTAGAATGGAAGATATAGAACTGTCCCCACTTTTTTTTTGCGAAGCGTACACAAAACTCTGGAATGAAGGAAGGGGTAAGATAGGAAAGAAGCCAAACTGGGAAAAGGAAAAATTTGGAAGTAAAATTGACATTACTTGGGTTTAAAATCTTCATAATTGTTTAGTAAATTCCTTTTAAAATTTTCCACACAGTATTAAAATAAAAATTTTTTCAGTACATATATTAACATTTCAAAATTTTATAACTAATTTGCATTCCATTTAACAACATTTGAAATAAATTTTATCGAGATTATGCTTTTTACAAAGATATTTCAAATTAAAACTGGAAGACCCCACAGGTTTCTCTAGTACTTACATATCCATCTTATGGGCAAATCCACATAAATAAAATGGTTTTGGTTTGGTTTATGTGATTACAGCAAATCCTTAAGTGCTATCTAATGAAGAGGAGGGATGCCTTCATGGAGGACTTTCTAAGGGAAACTGGCAGATATACATGTTACACGTGGGAACAATCACGAAAACGGTCATGCAGCCAGCCCATTCGTGGCACTTGAACCTCGGACCAAACTACCTGTGTTCAACAAGTTTACCGCTCGGCTGCTGGCGGGCCATTAACAAACTGATGTATGAATTTCTCAAAATATATGTTACATATGGGGAAAACCATGAAAATGTCCATGCAGCCAGCACGTTCATGGGATTCGAACCTGGGACCAAACTACCAGTGTTCAACAAGTTTACCACTCTGCCACAGGAGGGCCATAAACAAACTGATCCATGAATTTAACAAATGGTTAATGGGATGCACAACTGTAATTTCTAAAAGGCCTCTGTTCCTGGCCTAAAGGCAACTGGCCTTTTTTATCGCATTAAATCATTCCGTTTATTTAAAAAAAAAACATAATGTGAAAAAAATTTTTAAAAATTATTATATATTAAAATATATGGTTTCTCGTCATAAGACAGGGGCTTCCAAAGCTTACATTCACTTCATTCTCAAAGTTCTTAGAATTTGAATTTTTTTAAAATCACTCAAAAATATATTATTTATCTTAACTTTCCCAATAAATAATTTAAATATATTAAAATTCACTACTTAATTTTGTAACACAATTATGAAAACTTTAAAATATTCATATAACAAAATTTTAATTTTACATTTTCATCATTTTATAAAACAGCACATTTTTTAAAAAAGCCAATACAGTGATAGTTTAAATAATAATTCTATGTTAAAATTTCAGCATAGGACCTACTGATGAACAAATTATTTGTAATATAACTGTGATTGGGGAAAGCACAAGTGAAAATAATTTTTTAGCACATACTTCAAGCACAATTTTCAGTCCTATACCAGAGAAAAATAATCTAACTGATTTATTTACATAACAGCCGAAGGAAGCAAATACACAGTTCAGTGATCTTCATAGTGCTTTTGAACATATCAGATCAGGAGATCACTTCCATTCTGTAAAGAATATGTATAATAATTTTTTTAAGCGCTGATAAAGCAGCAGAGCAGCATGATAGTTTTTAGCTTTTTTCTCCCCTTTTCATTTCTAAATACTGAAGAGGTAGCCAAACTAAATTTGAAAGTGATCCAATTATGAAACACTGTAGGAATTCCATACTGCCTTTCATTGTATGTTAAAACTTTTGGACTTGCAGATAAACAGGCACATTCATTCGATTTTTGTAGATACTTTACTGAAATGCAGCTGAGATCAAGACAGGAACATAGGGACCCTGTTGACTCTTTGTGATGCTGTAGTTTTTGCAGATGAAACCAATTCCCTTTTAGTTATAGGTGCGATAACATTGGAAGCAATAGTTGTAATGGACAGGCAATGGCTGCATAGATATAACTTGGGCCTGTTTACTGCACAGATGGAATTATGAACTTGCACACAGACATGGCCAAATTCAATAGAATTTTATTATTGGATACGACTAATTATGGAGATAAAAATACTTGCTTTACTCGATCATGGAAGCAATAGGTACCTCACAATTTTGTATACACAGCTATACTTTAGAGCAAAAGAAGAATGCGAATAGAACAAAGAGATGTATGTTAGTTTAGACAGAGCAATTGGCAAAAGAGAGTACACAGCTGGATTCCAGTGGTATTTACAGAAAAAAAAAATTTTTTAATCAGGTTGGCTAAGAACTATATGCAGTGCAGAAGGTTAAAATGATATAATGTGGAACTAGTTTTCAGATATGATGCAGTTTTGAAGAAGTTATTCCTATTTTCAGAATTGAAAGGGAGACTTGGCCAAATTAAAAAGAATAAAAGGGCTATTGCTAATTTAAAATATAATTCAGAGTTATATATATAAGGTAATTATAAGTGATAAATAGCCCAATACTTGTGTGTATACATACACACAAACACACCAAAAAGAAAAAGGTTCAAATAAAATGTGAATCCTGCTCAAGAAAAGGAGCAACTGACAAATCATTCTATTCATTCAGTTCTTGTAGTCGAAACAGTTTAAATAACCTTTGATAATTTATGAACTAATAATTTAGAAATTTAACAAACTTTAAATTATCAAATTGCAATTGTCTGAAATCTCCAATTACCAATTTAATAACTAATACTTTTAATGTTAAGCCTCAGCAAATTTAGTTTTATTTGCAAACACGTATATTAAAATTTACATGCAAGAATATTTTCTAGAACTGTCTAACAATAACTGTCCAAATACACATAAAATGCAAACTAAGGTAAAGCACAGCATTTCAGCAAGAGCATCACATTATATTCACAGAAATACAATCAATGAATTTATGTGTAATTTGCTCCTAACAATGAAAAATCACTATTTTATCATTAAAATCAGATTTGGGGGTTTAAAATAATTGCTAATTACATATCTCTACATGCAACAAAAATTTCTTTAGTACTTTCTTTTGGGGGAGGTATCAACCTTCAGTGCTAATACTGAATTCCTTTCAGCTCATCATGAAAGAAATCACATCAAAAATTGCAATACTCATTCTTTTCTAAACAGTCTTGACAATAACTTAGATCGAATCAAATTCATAAGTATTAGCCTGTCAAATACAGATATTTACACATAGGCATATTCTGTGCAGATTTCTCATTTTAATACTAATTATACAAGTAAAATACAATCTGATGTAAAGCGTAACCTTACCATTTTCACCAAGTGCTTTTCTAGCTGATCAATTGTAGTTAAGGACTCCATTTTTAGTCCTCTGCCAGATCTATCAATGAGTGCAGTCTCTCCTGGTGCCCTCTCAAGTCTAAATCTTAATCTTCTAGTTAATATCTAAATACAGAACAAAAATTCAACTATCAGTTACCTTTTTTAATAATTAATTTATGATAAAATGCACATATTCGGTTAAACAGCATTGTTTCTTAAAATTTCAGCACCAAATCAGAATTCAGTATTACCCGACAGCTAAATGGAACAGCCAATACCGGTTTGTCAAATACTGAGAAAATAACACCTTCAAACTCCTATGAAATTATGTAAGTAATAACTCTCAATATTATACAGTAAAATTCCAGAAATCCGCAAAGCTTGAGACCAGAGGTTGTGCGTATTTTAGGATTTTGCAGATTTTAAGACAGAAAAGATAAAGCATAATATTTGGACTAAAGGTGCAAAATGAATAAGGCGTATTAGATACAATTAATTAAATTATTATATAATTATTGTAAATTATGAATAGTTTTATTACAGATATAAATTGCATTCGAGGCTTGCCGATTCAGCTCATGCAATATTTCCGGTTTCGGATTCCAGTGTTAGAATCACTGTTGCTGTAAAATTTCAACAGCTTTTCTTTATTTTTCACAATATATTTTTATAGAAATTTAAGATTTAGAATTATCATTTTCAGAAAAGTCAAGTTATGATATAAACGTACAACCCTCTAGAGACCGAATTAATGGAAGTTCAATGGTTATGTAGAAATGATCTGCAGCTACTTAATAGCTGAATTAAGTAGTTTTCATACAAAAGTCTGAAATATAAACATCTGCAAAGAATACACGCATGTCAAAATATCCATAAATAAAATATGGATAAACTTACTTGGAGACCATTTCCACTCCCATTTGTATCATAAAGATAAACAGGAAGTTTTTCGATTGATTCTAAGACAGCAACCAGTTTCTGAACTAGAGCAACTGATGGTAATGTATTGCTATAAAGTACAGAATATGCATCATCATAATTATACAATTAAAATAGACTAAAATGCAGTTTTATTTTTCTATGGAACATAACACCAATATTAAAAGTAATTTCAAGCACATAAAAAAAGTCAAAATTATCTGTAATAAAAGTTAGCACAGAATATTTACCTGACTGATGACACTTGTTCAGAAAAACATTTCTTAAAGACAGCAACACGATCATTTTGCAACTTATTTGAATGGCACAAAACATTACTTCCTTCTTGATATTTCTAGCAAGGCATGAAATAATGAAATAGATGACTCAATATTGAAAGACAAAAAAAAAAAAAAAAAAAAAAAAAAAGGTGAACAAATTCATGAGCATCAACATTTAAACAAGCTGTTATACAAAACAAACAAAATTATGTTGAAATCCATTTTTAATGAAAAAAATAAATTCTAAGATTTAACATTCTGCTTTTTTTTTAATGAATCTTTAATTGTAAATTTAATGTGCTGAAATCATACATGCTTCTTATTTCACAACCAACCTTTCATATATTTAATTTTATAATCTCTTTATGTAATGTGAAGATATTTAAACTGATAATTTAAAAAAAACCTAGAAATTTTTTTAATCAAGATATGTTGAGACTTCGAGGATTCTGGATTTCAAAAATTCTATTATCCATTTCTGCAATGTGCAAGGGGGGGAAAAAAAAGGAGAGTTTAAAAAAATAATAATTAATAAAACTGATCAGTGGTCTGGAGAATAGATGATTCTGATTACTGGACAACTGAATTTGGAACTTTGTACTACATAAATATACATTTCAGTCTCAAAGACCTAAATGAGTAACAACAGTTATATTAGCATACTAATGTAAATATGACTTTAAGTCACGTTATTGCATAAAAAACATATTCAAGCTTACACTTCTGCTAAGATTTGGTGATATTTAATATGCATACATGTGTGTCATTTCATTTCTGCTTTAATATATGTTGTAATTACATATTTCACTGCCCAAGAAAATTAGAGGAGTAGCTGATTTAGAAAGAATAGACAAAAGCATATTTTACATTACACTAAAACTCACAACATCATCAAAACCCAAACAGATTATGAAGCCGTTTCTCAGATGCCCAAGAAGTCCAGTGGAGATGTACGTCTCAGCAGTATTTTGACAGAAAATAAGGTAAGGAAAATTACTCATTTTTCCTTGGCTTTACTGAAATTGGATGTAACAAAGGAAAATGACTAACTTGAATATTTAAACTGGGAATTTTGATAACATTTGATAACTAATTTTGAGATATGGCGTTTCCAACAGAAAATACTTTTAATCCAGTCAAAACTCACAAGTGAGCAGTTAGTCAAGCCAGAAACTTCTGAAAATAACTAGGACAAACTTGACAAGTGGGTCTCAAAAGATCCAAAAGCTTTAGCAATTATTACTCTGATCATGAAATCATCTGAGGTAAGGCACCTTAAAAAAATGTCAAACATATGATGTGTTCTAACTTCTCTCTTCTTTACTACGGATAAACTTTGAGAAATAGGATCTGAAATTCCAGAATTCCTAAGTATTTTGCTTAATTTTAGATAGAATTTTAAATTACAGGGGATCCAGAACCAGTACAGGAAGATTTATCCAGATCAGATGTAGAAGAAAGGAGAGCAGCTACACAAGAAGAATACAGTACCTGAAAAACAATGAGTAGGAATTAACTGATTTACCAGAGAACAGAAAAGTTGTTGGATACAAATGGATATTGCAAATAAAACAAAAGGCACAGTCAGTAAGTACAAAGCGGATGTTTGCAAAAATATGGAACAGATTACCCAGGAACACTTCCACTCACAGTTTGCTACAAATCTATACATACACTGTTTCAGCTGCCAGATATGATCTGATGATACATAAAATGGATGTTCAAACATAACTTATCTGAATGGGAAAATTGATAAAGAGATTTTCATGTCTTAATCAGAAAGTTTTGTAACTTCTAAAGACAAAGTCTTCAAGCTGAAAATATACATCTGCAGATTTAAGCAAGCAGGATAAACCTGAAACTCAAAACTAAATGAAATTTTGCAGAAACTCAAATTCAAAAGGCTAACGTCAGATGACTCTATGTTCAGAAAGGAACAGATGACTATCATAATTACAATTTATGTAGATGATGAAATAATTTTAACTAATAACAAATCTTTGTGATATGAATTAAGAAAACTCTTAGCAAAACGTTTAAGATAAGAGACTTGTAAAATAAAACTGTGTTCAGACATTAACATTAAACAAAATGAAAATATATCAATTAGCCAAATACAGTGCATAAAAGAACTCTTGGTTAAATACAGTAGGCAGGAATGTAAGCCTATAACAACACTGTTAGACCCTAACATTAAACTATGTGAATCTTCAAACATCACCAAAGAAACTGAAATTGTAGACAAAAGTAAGTATCAATCTTTAATTTATTTAGCTGTACCTACACGTCATGATACTGCAAATTTTGTAAGTAGACTTGGCCAATTTAACAGTAACCAAAAATGCTTTTCACTGCATTCAAACAAAACACATACTACAGTACCTTAATCTACACTAAACATTAAGATAACTAACTTACTGCAAAACAAATGAAAGTCGTATGTTACATACACAAAAACTGGGCCAGAAATACTCTCGACAGGAAATCATTTAGTGGTTATGGTTCATACAAGCAAGAAGCTGGATGAGAATCAGGCAAGAAAAGAACTGTAGAGCTACCAAGAACTAAAGCACAATACATAGCATTTACCAAAGCTTCAAAAGAAGCGAGGAGTTGAGAGAGCTAAGTTTTTTGGAGAAGATAACAGAACAAACTACGCTATACAATGATAATTAAGAGCATGGCCTTTAATGAAAAACTGAGTTCACCACTCTGGAACAAAACACATTGATAGTCATTTTCACTACCTTAGAAAGTTTTATGACAATAACGAAAATGACATTAACTATGTGTCTACAGCAGATATACCTGCTGACATCTTAAGAATCTTGGCAGGGACAAACAGAGGACATGTATGAATCAATTAAATCTCTAACGATTTTTTTTGTTGTTTTTTCTTTTTATTTTACTTTCTTTTTACCCGCTTTATGTCTCTTTCTTTTTTCAGCTCTGTGAGGCAGAGGTAGCAGTTTGCACAGCTTCTCCTTAGAGCTGAAGAGGTGAAAAGTTTAATGCTATGTAATCTCACAGTAGATGCCAAAAAAGGTGTGAAGGCTAATGATATGTAATCCCACAGTAGATACCAAAAAAGGTGTGAAGGCTGGTTAGTGAAGTGGCCAGAAACTATGATTCTTTTCAGCATGGTGTGGCAATGTGATACATGGAATAGAGTTGTTGAAAACCAGAATAAGAAAAGGAATTCAGTAGAATGTCCTGGACAGCATTTCCTCGAAGTATCCCATGGAATTGTTGCAGCTAAGTACCCTGCCAGCATACCAGTCACATTAATCACCCATTATTCATCATATGTTTTTCCTCACATGTCACAAGTTTACATATCCTGTTCATTGGTTTTGTAAATCTCAAGGAAAGTAGCCATTGAAGTTTTATGTTTTACTTGCATCATATATGCTCCATTGGTAGGCTGCAATGTAAACCACACTATGCAAATGCTATACAAATACACTATGCAGACACTATGAAAATGCTCTCAAGATTGCCCAACACCAAACAACAATCACAGTAAAAAAGAAAATATGGGTACTAAAATTCAAATATCAGTAGAATTATTAAAAAATGTGCATAATAGCATGGAAATTTTTATAAAAATTTGCTAGCTCTTTGTTCATTTAACAGCAATTTATGCTGTTACAACATAAGATAATTTTTCATTCATAATACAAATTAGCTTCCAATGCAGTCAAACCTTCCCATAGTGAACCCAGCTTATAATGACCTCCCACCCCAGATATAACGAACCTTTTTACCAGTCCAAATTTCTATATATTTAATCATCCAAGAGGCACGACTTTTGGGGTCAGCTCATAAAGAACTGCATGTAAACAGCTTTTACTGATCTAAAATTTTATAATTACTTATATTTATGTCTTCATAAACTTCCATTCATTAAGATATTTA